CCCCCAGGGGGCCCAAGGCCATGGAGGCACCGGGAGCACCGGGGACACGGGAGGCACCGCGAGCACTGGACGCACTGGGAGAACTGGAGGCACCACGAGCGCTGGAGGCACCGCGAGCGCTGGAGGCACTGGGAGCACTGGAGGCACCGCGAGCGCTGGAGGCACCGGGGACACTGGATGTACTGGGAGCACTGGACGCACCGGGGACACTGGAGGCACCGCGAGCACTGGACATACTGGGTCCACTGGACGCACTGGGAGCACCCCAGTCCCCGGGGACACCAGGAGCAGCAGGGATACTGGACACACTGGGGAGACTGGGAACACCGCCATCCCCACCGACACCAGGAGCACCGGGGATGCTGGGCACGCTGGGGAGACTGGGAAAGTCCCCAGGGACACCAGGAGCGCCAGGAAAGTCCCCAGGAGCGCCAGGAAAGTCCCCAGGAGCACCAGGGATACTGGACGTAATGGGGACACTGGGAAAGTCCCCAGGGCCACCAGTAGCACCGGGGAGACGATGGGCACCGGGGGTGTTGGGGACTCCCTGACCACGGGGGCTACCAGGAGCCCCGTGACCCGCAGCCACTCCCGCCAGCGCCGCAGCCCCAACACGGCGCCGCAGTTCCAGCCCTCCAGCTACCAGGCCTCGGTGGGGGAGAACCGGCCAGCGGGGACGCCGGTGACGCGGGTGACGGCAGTGGATCCCGACGAGGGGGAGGCGGGCCGGCTGCGCTACACCATGGCCGCCCTCTTCGACAGCCGCTCCGACGCCCTCTTCGCCATGGACCCCGTCACCGGCGCCATCACCACCGCCACCCCCCTGGACCGCGAGAGCAAGAGCACCCACGTCTTCCGGGTGACGGCGGTGGACCACGGCACGCCCCGGCGCAGCGCCATGGCCACGTTGACGGTGACGGTGACCGATGCCAATGACCACGACCCGGCCTTCGAGCAGCCCGAGTACCGGGAGAGTGTGCGGGAGAACCTGGAGGTGGGCTACGAGGTGCTGACGGTCCGGGCCACCGACGGCGATGCCGGTCCCAACGCCAACGTCCTCTACCGTCTCCTCAACGCCGGCGGCGCCAACGAGGTCTTCGAGATCGATCCCCGCTCGGGCGTCATCCGCACCCGCGGCCCCGTGGACCGCGAGGCGGTGGAAGCCTTCGAGCTGTTGGTGGAGGCCACGGATCAGGGCCAGGAGCCGGGACCCCGCAGCGCCACGGCCACCGTCCGCATCACCGTGGAGGACGACAACGACAACGCGCCGCAGTTCAGCGAGAAGCGTTACGTGGCGCAGGTCCCCGAGGACGTGGCGCCCAACTCGGCCGTGCTGCGGGTGACGGCCACCGACCGCGACAAGGGCAGCAACGCCCTGGTGCACTACAGCATCGTCAGCGGTAACACCCGCGGCCACTTCTACATCGACGCGCAGACGGGCGCGCTGGACGTGGTCAGCCCCTTGGACTACGAGGTCAGCAAGGAGTTCACCCTACGGATCCGGGCACAGGACGGCGGCCGCCCGCCCCTCTCCAACATCAGCGGCTTGGTCACCGTCCAGGTGTTGGACGTCAACGATAACGCCCCCATCTTCGTCAGCACGCCCTTCCAGGCCACTGTGCTGGAGAACGTGCCAGTGGGTTACTCCGTCATCCACGTTCAAGCCATCGACGCCGATTCGGGTGACAACGGCCGACTGGTCTACACCCTCCTGGAGACCGGCGCCGGCTTCCCCTTCGCCATCAACAACAGCACGGGGTGGATCGTGGTGGCCTCCGAGCTGGACCGGGAGGCGGTGGACTTCTACAGCTTCGAGGTGGAGGCGCAGGACCAGGGCAACCCCCCCATGGCCTCCTCGGCCAGCGTCAGCGTCACCGTCCTGGACGTCAACGACAACAGCCCCGAGTTCACGCAACGGGAGTACGGCGCCCGCCTGAACGAGGATGCGGCGGTGGGTACCAGCGTCCTCACCGTCTCCGCCGTCGACCGCGACGCCAACAGTGTCATCACCTACCAGATCTCCAGCGGCAACACCCGCAACCGCTTCTCCATCACCAGCCAGAGCGGTGGTGGGCTCATCTCCCTCGCCCTGCCCCTGGACTACAAGCTGGAGCGGCAGTACCTCCTCACCATCGCCGCCTCCGACGGCACCCGCCAGGACACGGCCCAGGTGGTCATCAACGTCACCGACGCCAACACCCACCGACCTGTCTTCCAGAGCTCCCACTACACCGTCAATGTCAACGAGGACCGGCCGGTGGGCACCACGGTGGTGGTCATCAGCGCCACGGACGAGGACACGGGGGAGAACGCCCGCATCACCTACCTGATGGAGGACAGCATCCCCCAGTTCCGCATCGCCGCCGAGACGGGGGCCGTCACCACCCAGATGGAGCTGGACTACGAGGACCAGGTGTCCTACACCCTGGCCATCACGGCGCGTGACAACGGCATCCCGCAGAAGTCCGACACCACCTACCTGGAGATCCTGGTGAGCGACGTCAACGACAACGCGCCCCAGTTCCTCCGCGACTCCTACCAGGGCTCCATCTACGAGGACGTGCCCGCCTTCACCAGCGTCCTCCAGGTCTCCGCCACTGACCGCGACTCGGGGCTCAACGGCAGGGTCTTCTACACCTTCCAAGGGGGTGACGATGGTGATGGAGACTTCATCATCGAGTCCACCTCGGGCATCGTCCGCACCTTGCGCCGCCTCGACCGGGAGAACGTGCCGCTTTACACCCTGCGGGCATTTGCCGTCGACAAGGGGGTCCCGGCCAAGCGGACACCGGTGGAGATCCAAGTGACGGTGCTGGACGTCAACGACAACCCGCCCGTCTTCGAGCGGGACGAGTTCGACATCTTCGTGGAGGAGAACAGCCCCATTGGGCTGGTGGTGGCCCGGATCACGGCCACCGACCCCGACGAGGGCACCAACGCCCAAATCATGTACCAGATCGTGGAGGGCAACATCCCTGAGGTCTTCCAGCTGGATATCTTCTCCGGCGAGCTCACCGCCTTGGCCGACCTGGACTACGAGTCCAAGGCGGAGTACGTCATGGTGGTCCAAGCCACCTCGGCCCCCCTGGTCAGCCGGGCCACCGTCCACATCCGCCTTCGCGACGTCAACGACAACAGCCCCCAACTCAAGAACTTTGAGATCCTCTTCAACAACTACATCACCAACCGCTCGGGCAGCTTCCCCGGGGGGGTCATCGGCCGCATCCCGGCCCACGACCCCGACGTCTCCGACAGCCTCACCTACGCCTTCGAGCAAGGGAACGAGCTCAACCTGGTGCTGCTGGACCCCCGCAGCGGGGACCTGCGCCTCAGCCCCGCCCTGGACAACAACCGCCCGCTGGAGGCCGTCATGAGGGTCTCCGTTTCGGGTAAGACCCCCATCTTAAGACCCCCATCTTAAATCTAAGGTTTGGGGCTGGGAAAGCCCTTGTGGGTGCCCCCCCCCCCCCCACCCCCCCAGGGCGGTGGGGGTTTTGGGGGCCCCCCCCCCCCCCCCTGGGCCCCAGCCCCATCCCACCCCACACGGGGGCCAGGTGTGCCCCCCAGCAGCCCGTGGCTGGCAGGGCTGGCAGCCCCCCCGGCCGTGGGGGCTGCGGGCGGCTGTCCCCACGGGTGTCGGCCCCCGGTAAA